ACCCCTTGTTCTCCCCCACTTTGCCTATGGGGGTGTGTCAGAACATATAGCTTACTTGTTTCTGTAGGCTATAGTGGGGTATCCCATAAGGGGTACAACCCAATCAGGGTTTCCTATTTGTACTCACTTCGTTCATAGTCATTTCATTCTTGTTCACTTCTTCTCAACAACTGCCACCCCCATACCCGCCACCCCCTACTCGCCACCCCCTACTCACCCGCAAGCGGCCCCCTCAGGTCGCCTCGACAGACGACGGGAAAAGGGGGGGGGGGGGGGGGGGGGTGCACGTGCCGTAGGTAGGGCGACGGGGTCGGGCCTGTAGGGCAGCGGGACGACGGGGCCGCAGGTAGGGCGGCGGGGCCGGGGCCAGGGCCGCAGGTAGGGTCGCCCGAGTCGCGCGCAGGGGGCCCGAGCCGCGCGCGGGCCTGGCGACGCCCGTACGGGTCGCGCGCGGGCCTGGCGCAGCCCGTACGGGTGGTGCGCGGGCCTGGCGCAGCCCGTACGGGCCGCGGACGGGTCGGGCGTGGCCCGTACGTGCCGCGCGCAGGCCACGACGGGCGACGGGGGGCGACGAACGGGTCCCCGTCGCCCGTTGCGGCGCCGCCCAAGGGCGACGCGCCGGTCGACGGGGCAGAAGCCCGCCGCGCGCCTCGGGGCGCACAGCGGGAAGAGAACCGCCGCGCGCCTCGGGGCGCACGGCGGGCAGAAAACCGCCGCGCGCCTCGGGGCGCACGGGGGGAAGAAAAATGCCGCACGCCACGGGACGTGCGGCTCAGAGGGTAGTTGCAGTAGTAGCAGCGGAAGCGAGAAGGTGGTAAGCCCACCCACAGGATCGATCCAAGGGGATCGACCTGCTCTGATAGCATGTCAAAATTAGAAGAAAGAAAGAGGGTTGAACTAGCAGGAATGGGGATACAAATAGCAAACCCTAGAAGGGTTGTACTCGCTATGGAGCACCCCACTACAGGCTAGAACATAAGATAACATTCTGACAAAGAGGTCTTGGAGCAGTACAAGGATATAATGCCCGACGACCTACCTGCGGGCGTACCTCCAGCACGCACCCACGAACACGAGATCGTGGAGGAACCAGGTGCAAAACCCGTCTCACGTGCACCATACCGACTGAGTCGGACCGAACTGACAGATATGAAGAAACAGATCGAGTATCTACTGGACAGACAACTGATCCGACCCTCCACCTCTCCCTACGGCGCACCAGTTCTCTTCACACCAAAACCAGACGGCAGTTTACGGATGTGCATCGACTAACGCGCACTGAACAAACAGACGGTAAAAAACAAATACCCCATACCGCGCATTGACGACTTACTGGACCAACTGCGTGGTGCAACAGTCTTCTCGAAGCTGGACCTACGGTCGGGTTATTGGCAGATCAAGATGGCAGACAACTCGGTCCACAAGACGGCGTTCCGTACTCGATACGGCTCCTACGAATACTTGGTGATGCCGTTCGGACTCTGTAACGCACCAGCAACGTTTCAGGCGGAGATGAATCACATCTTACGGCCCCTGTTGGACGAGTGCGTGGTGGTGTACCTGGACGATATTCTCATCTACTCCAAGAACATGAAGGAGCACGTGGAGCATCTGCGGAAGGTGTTCGAGATCCTGCGGAAGAACAAGTTCTACGTGAAGTTGTCAAAGAGCGACTTCGCCCTGAAGAAGGTGCAGTTTCTTGGGCGCATGGTGAGTGCCGAGGGCGTACACGTGGACCCGCGGAAGATCGAAGCCGTCAAAGAGTGGAAAGTTCTGGAAAACGTGAAAGAATTGTAGCAGTTCCTAGGCTTCGCCAACTACTACAACAGGTTCGTGCCACAGTACGCTAAGATTGCAGCGCCACTGACCGACCTACTGAAAAAGGATACACCCTTCAAATGGGATACTCCTCATCAGCAAGCCATGGAGCAGCTACAGACCGCACTGACCACAGCCCCGGTACTCATCCTACCAGACCCTGAGAAGGACTACGTAGTTGAAGCTGACGCTAGTGACCAGGCAGTCGGAGCAGTACTGATGCAGGATCACGGGAACGGGTTACAGCCTATCGCCTACCTCAGTAAGAAACTGCACGGAGCAGAACTGAACTACCCCATTCACGACAAGGAAGCCTTAGCCATAGTCGTAGCCTTCAAAGCGTGGAGGTGCTATCTAGAAGGAGCCAAGACTACAGTCTACACTGACCACTGCAGCCTCAAATACCTGAAGTCACAGCCAACACTCTCACGACGACAGGTGCGATGGATGGACTTCTTGGAGACCCACTTCCACTACGACATCATCTACAAACCCGGGCTACACAACAAAGCAGACGCGTTGAGCCGCCCAGGACATGTAGCAGGCATCCAACTCGACGGGATGAACCCTCTGCTCAAGGGTCTATTCAAACATGGGTACTCCGTGGACGGCGAGATAGCAACGGCAGAGAAACAGAAGCTGTTACAGTGGGAGAAAGACTTAGCAGGAAGGGTTCAGGAAAGACTTGGGTACCGAATTACGCCCCGCTACGGCAGATCCTATTGGAGGAGTTTCACGACGTACCTTACGCGGGACATTTCGGGAGCAACAAGACGTTAGCAGGGATAGCGAAGTATTACTACTGGCCCGGGATGGCAGCAGACGTGCAGCAGTTTGTCACCTCTTGCGACACGTGCCAGCGGATGAAGAGTAGCAAGCAGAAAAAAGCAGGGTTACTTCAGCCTCTACCCGTACCGGAGCAGCCATGGCAAGTCGTTAGCCTCGACTTCATCACGGGACTTCCTTCGACCTCACGAGGGCATGATGCTATACTCGTGGTGATCGACAAGTTCTCTAAAATGGGTCACTTCATCCCGACCAACGCCACCGCTACTGCTGAAGCAACTGCTCGCCTCTTCTTCGACCGCATCATCACCATCCACGGCATCCCCGCTAAACTCATCTCAGACAGAGACCCCAAATTCACGAGTAAGTTCTGGAAGGAGCTCATGGGATTATTGGGGACTAAACTGGCGATGTCCTCAGCATACCACCCACAGACTGACGGACAGACAGAGCGACTCAATCAAGTGGTTGAACAGTTACTGCGCACAGCTTGCAAAGACGACGTCAGCCACTGGGACACACAGTTACCGACCCTAGAGTTCGCTTACAACAACGCGTCTCATGCGGCCACAGGGAAAACTCCTTTTTTCCTGTGTTACGGCAGGAAACCACTTACACCACAGCAGCCAACCACACCGGCACACGTCCAAGCCGCACATGACTTCGTCACCACCATGCAGCAGCTATGGGAGAAGACTCAGCGACGTCTCACCACGATGCAAAACTCCCAGAAGCAGTATGCCGATCACCAGCGACGAGATCACTCAGTAGCAGTCGAAGATCAGGTGCTTCTTGACACGCGCAACTTGAGCCTGTCTCACCTTCCATCCAAACTCCGGCCTCGCTTCTGTGGTCCTTTTCTCGTTGAGACACAGGTGACACCAGTTACATTCCGCTTGCGCTTACCAGATGCATGGAAGCTTCACAACGCTTTCCATGTCCAGCTACTGAAGCCCTACAAGGACCCCAACCAACAGTTCCAGGGACGGCAGCTTCCGCCACCTCCTCCTGTTCTCATCCAGGATGAACCTGAATATGAAGTGGAGCGCGTTCTTTCTCATCGACGCTGCGGCGGCAAGACCCTCGAGTTCCTGATACGCTGGAAGGGTTATGACCCCACTGAGGACAGTTGGGTTATAGAAGCTGATATGGGCAAGCAGGGTGTATCTCACGCCACCCAGCTTTGAGGGGGGGACGTGTGAGAGTACGTCGGCTTATGCTTGTTATTCATGCTTGCTATTATTTCCTTACGCTATTCCTAGCTTAGGATTATTTTCTGCATGCATGAATTGCTTGATTTCCTAGGTTCGTTGCTATACTATAGTTATTATAGTTATAGGCACCGAACCAGGATACGTGCACCGAACTCAAGCTATTCGGTCGCCACCGAATTGCTTTCTACCGAGTTCGGGAAGGTTCTGTTCGGGACGCTTCGCGACCCTCAGAACATTCGCGTAACACCCGGGACGTTGAGGTCCATCGTGTGCAAGAACAGAGGGAGCTCCCTCTTGCATGTTTTAAAGTTCACTCAAGGGGGGAACTTGGGTACATGGGGGAAGTGTATTGGTGGGTTAAGAATACATGTCGAAAAACAATGTTGGAGTAGGCTAGAGCTCGCTCTGGCCTACATTTTGGTGTTCTTATATTATTTCTCCATGCTTAGAGAGTGTTACGCATTCAGGTTCATTTTAGGTTTATTTTGTAGTTTTTAGTACAAACCAAATACACCCTAGGTTCAGTTAGGGTTTCCAACCCTTTCTATTTTGTACCTCGACATTTCTCTTCCTAGTCCAACTTTTTCACCTCACCAAAAACTCTCGCCATCCATGGCTTCTCAAACTTCAACATGGTATTCAGAGCCTAGTCCTAGGCATTTCCCTTTTATCCGCATCTCTTAGAAATTTTCTGGTCCTTAGGCCATTTCCGCGCTACTTACCTAGACAATTTTCTTTTTCTTCTAATTTATTGTCCTTAAATTCACACTTCGCATCCTCGTGGTTTTCTTCGTTTTAGTCATGCGGATGCTCTATTTCACTCCGTAGCGCGCCTCCCTACCGTCCGTTCGCTCTCCTGCGCCTCCCCTTCGTCGCGCCTCCTCCTCTTCACGTTCCCGGTGGTAGCGCGCTGTTTTTTGCTCGTAGCGTGCTCAGCCGCCCCCCCCCCCCTCCCCTCCGCCCCCCTTCCCGTCTCGTCGCGCGCATTGCGCTGCCGTTCGCCGCGCGCGCTTCGCTTCGTCGAGCAACGCGCGCGCTTGCCTCCCCTGCGGCGCACCCTGCCCCTTCCCAATCCGCCCTCCCCTCCCTCACCCTCCTCCTCCTTTCCACTCTCCTTTGTCCACCCCTCCCTATCTCACCTCTTCCTCCTCCTCCTTTCTCTCCTCATCTGCTGCAACTCGTATGTGCTTGTGGCGCACTCTTCCCACAAATCCGCCCCTTAACCATCCTCCTCCTCTCCTCTCTCCCTCTAACTCCCCTTCCGCTCGTTTTCCTCCACCTCTTTTCTCTCCCCATCTGCTGCAGCTGGTGACTGATTGTGTATTGAAGTTGTTGCTCCTCCACACCTTTCCTCCTCCTCAGTACCCTCCCCTCAACTGCTCAACTGCAAACTCCTTCACAACTATCCCTCCTCTTATTTCTCCCCTCAGCAGCACAGCAGCAGACTACCCCGCCACTATCCCTCCTCTAGTTTCTCCCCTTAGCGGCGCAGCAGCAGACTACTCCGCCACTATCCCTCCTCCTCTAGTTTCTCCCCTTAGCGGCGCAGCAGCAGACTACTCCGCCACTATCCCTCCTCCTCTAGTTTCTCCCCTCAGCGGCGTAGCAGCAGACTACTTCGCCACTATCCCTCCTCCTCTTGTTTCTCCCTTCAGCGGCGCAGCAGCAGACTACTCCGCCACTATCCCTCCTCCTCTAGTTTCTCCCCTCAGCGGCGCAGCAGCAGACTACTCCGCCACTATCCCTCCTCCTCTAGTTTCTCCCCTCAACGGCGCAGCAGCAGACTACTCCGCCACTATCCCTCCTCCTCTAGTTTCTCCCCTCAGCAGCGCAGCAGCAGACTCCTTCGCCCTTATTCCTCTGCCTCTTATATCTCTCCCCTCATCTGCTCTGCAGCTGTCTCCTCCTCCTTATGGCGACCTCTCTCGCCCTCCCCTCCCTCCCTCTGCTGGTCCTTCAGCTTGCGCCTGATGGCAGCGCAGTCAACTTCCCCAGTTGGCTTAACTGTCTAGAGCGCACGCTGTCTGGCACCCTCGTGAGTGGCTTTAACCTCTGGTTTTTCACTCAGCAGAGTGGTTCTGGCGCCATTCCTAAACCTGCCTCTGCACCTACCTCTATCTCCTCTGACCCCTATGCTGATGGCCTTCGTGCTGCTATCGCTGAAACTGAGCGGATTGCGGCCACGGCCCAAGCCACTGCTACGGCTGCTCCTGACAATGCTGCAGCCCGTCACCTCACTCGTGTTCTTGCTGAGTCCCTCGAGAGCACCCGCAAGCGCCTCACTGAGCACCTCACTGCCCCCTCTCCTCGCTCTGCCTCTACTCCCTCTGCTTTTGCTCCATCTCACTCTGACCTTCTCGCTGACTGGCATGTTGCCAATGCACGTGCCTGCCAGGTCATCCTTGCCTGCCTACCTCCAACCCTTCTCCCTCAGTGCTCGCACATCCGCTATGCCAAGGACCTTCTCGGCTATCTTATCGAGCTCTTCCAGTCGCAGACTCCCATCAGTGTCATTGCCCTCTTACGCGAGCTTACCTCTCTTCGCCTTGCTGACTTCACCACCATGGCGGACTACATTGCTCGTGTGCAGACGCTGTCCTCCCAACTTGCCTCTCAAAAGTTTGAACTTTCCGATCATGTGTGCAGTGCCCTCCTCCTCACAGGCCTCACTCCTGAATACAGTGTTCATGTCACTCTGTATGGTGAGCGCCCTACCGACCAGTGGTCGTTCTCTCGTGTCTCTGCCTTCCTCCTCCAGGCAGAGCTCAACCTCCGCAGCTGCCCTCCTACTGCCGCCGCTGTCACACCCTCTTCCGCCCCCCCCCCCCTCTCCCCACCTCCACTGTCGCCGCTGCTTCCTCTCGCCCTCGCAACACCTTCCCTCCTTGCACCTACATCATTCGCCAAGGGCCCCGCAAGGGTCAGCCATGCTGTCGCACCAATCATCCCTCCTCCTCCTGCTTCCAAAAGCTCACCGATGACTTGTTCCTGGCTGGCAACAATGGTCGCCCTCCCAACTGGCTTCAACTCTCTCATCAGCGTCGCCAGTCTTCTGCCCAGGCGGTACTTGTGGCTGCCGACTCTGGTACCAATGCTCAAACCTCTGCTCTCAGTGTGACTATGCCTAGTCAGGATATCATTATGGGAGCTTTTCCACTTATGGACCCTCGTTTTGCCATGATGTTTGCTCCTTCTGTTAATGGCAATGATTCTCAGTATCTTCGTCCCACAGTTGCTGCTCTTTCTCTCCCTCACACTCTTGAGTTTGTTCTTGACAGTGGTGCCATTGACTCTGTTTTTCGTGATGCTGGTGTGCTTCGCTCTTTTCCCCAACCCCTCTCCATTCAAGGAGCTGGGGATACCATGACCATGACTTGCACTGCTACCTCCTCTCTTCCTTGTCCTGCCTCCCCCTCTGGTGCTGTGACTGGCCTCTATGTCCCTTCCTGCTGCCACAACCTTCTCTCTCTCTGCTCTTCAACGTCTTTGTGTGCGAGCTATCTTTCCTGAATGTGACTCCTATTGTGATCTCTATCATCGCAACCGTCATCTTGCACGCTTTACTCTTTCCCCTATCATTCGCCTCTACACTCTCCGTGTCTCTCTCCCCCCTTCTGCCCATCATGCCTCTTCCACTTCCGCCCCTCCAGTTCTTTTCTTGCGACTGTCGTTCTCTCACTCAACCTACCCTTCTCCATCATCGGCTTGGCCACCCCAATTTTTCCCTTCTTCGCAGTATGGTCTCCTCCAAGCTTCTTCATGGCCTCCCTTCCTCTCTCCCCACCCTTCCTCCCTCTCCTGCTCCTCCATGCACCCCATGTGTCCAAGCCAAATTATCCCAGTCACCCCATCCCTCTTCTCCCTCTGTCTCTCCCCAACCCCTTGACCTTATTCATATGGACCTCTAGGGTCCTTCACCCACTGCATCTCGTCAGGGTCATCGCTACTTTCTGCTTTTGGTTGATGACAACTCACGATTTGCCAGTGTCTATCCCCTCCGTGCCAAATCTGACGCTCCCTCCCTCATCATTCGCTGGGCTTAGCAGGCTCGTATACGCTTTAAGCGTCCTGTCGTGCGCTTCCACTCGGATGGTGGTGGTATTCTTTAATCACTCTCTCTCCTCTTACTGTGCCTCTCATGGCGTTCGCCAGACCTCCACTCTTCCTCACTCCCCAGAACAGAATGGGGTTGCCGAGCGTCGAATGGAATCGCACTCTCATGGAAATCACTCGCTGTCTTCTCACCCATGCCTCTGCTCCCCACTCTCTTTGGAGCTATGCTCTCCTCCATGCCACTCTACTCTCTAACCTCCGCCCTCATCCTCTTCGCCCTACTACCACCCCCTTCCAGCTTTGGACTGGCCGCCAGCCCTCTGTTCGCCCTCTTTGGGTCTGGGGGTGTGTCGCCCATGTTCTTGTCAATCCAGCAGACCGGTCCCATAAGGGTGGGAAACTCTCTCCCAAGACGCAACTCTGTGCATTCCTTGGCATCAACTCTGACTATCATGACTATCTTTTCTATGCCCCTTCCTCTCACCAACTCATCCGCAGCCAGGACGTCATTTTTGATGAGACTCAATCCTCATTCCATTCCCCCCCACCCGCCCCTCCTGTCCCCTCTCTTCACTGGTCTGATTTCGATCAGCCACCGTCTGTCCTTCCCTCCCCTCTCCCCCGCCCTCCCATCCCGCCCCTTCCTGCCCCTCCCTCCGCGACAGCCTCTGCTGCCTCCCCTTCCGACATCATCTGTGGCGCCTCCCAACCCGCCTCTTCCTCTTTGGCTCCCCTCCCTTCCTCACTTCCATCTTCCTCTCCACCTCCTTCGTCTGTTCCCATTCCCCCTCCTTCCCCTAGCCTTACTCGCTCCATGGCTCGCGCACTTTCTAATTTTCAGCACTCTGCTCTTTTCACTCGTCTTTCTCCATCCCAGAATGTTACTCTTCTTGAAGATCGCTTTGAGGAGTTCTTCAACATTCATCCTGTCTCTCCTCTCCTGTGTATCACCATTGGTGACTTTAGCAATTCTCCCACTCTTTGAGAAGAAACGAGAATGAAGTGGGTACAAGTACTAACCCTAATAGGGTTGTACCCCGTATGGGATACCCCACTACAGCCTACACAAATGTATAAGCCATATAATGTTCCGACACACCCCCATAGGCAAAGTGGGGGAGAACAAGGGGTAACAAGACCAGTCAAGCAAAGCAAAGCAAAGCAAGCTCAGGGTGGATCTCAAAGTCACCACACAGTTCGAGCACAAGGTCAAGGCCACAAGGCTAGTCCACATGCACGAGTACACATATATATAAAGCTAGACAAGCAAGAGCAGGTATATATATATGTGACAGTACAAGCAAGGTCAAGAGGTGAGCAAGTGGGGCAAGACTGGCACAAGACCCAGCTGAGTGCAGAAGCGCTGATGATCACAAGGCGCAAGTGCCTTGGTGAAGACATCAGAAGTGTTGGCCTCAGAGGCCATGTACGCAAGCCGTAACTGTCCACGCTGCTGTAGCTCACGAGCAAGGAAGTAGCGGAGAGCAATGTGCTTTGTTCTGTGCTCCAGTCGCTGCTCTCGACACAAGGCCAGCATGGCCTTGTTGTCTACGTACAGAACTGGAGGAGAACGAGGCGGCTCTCCTAGGTCAGTCAGCAGGTAGGTGAGCCAGCGAAGCTCCTGTGCAGCCATGGCCCCAGCGTAGATCTCAGCCTCACAACTGGAGCCGAGAACAGAGGACGAGCGAGTAGCCCGCCACGAGACAGAGCCGGAACCAAGGCTGAAGGTGTAACCCTGTGACGACCGCTGCGTAGCCTGGTCGTCAGCCCAAGAAGCGTCTGCGTGCCCAGTGAGGACCACTGGACTGCGCCCTCCAAGCACTAGCCCCATGCCCGACGTACTGCACAAGTAGCGCAACACCCTCTTCGCTGCAGCCATGTGCTCTGGTCGGTGTCTCCCAGGAGCAACATAGCGTGCAAGAATGCTAAGAGGGTATGCAAGGTCAGGTCGAGTGCAGGTCATCAGGTACATGAGGCAGCCAACAAGCTCTAGATACGGGGCACTCGACTCTACGGACTCATCCGAAGGCAGAGCTGAGAGCGAGTGGCGAGTAGGCAGAGGAGTGGCCTGAGGCGAGGAGTACGTGAAGCCGAAGCGCTGAAGGACCTGCTGCACCATGTGTGACTGAGTCAGGGTAATGGTGCGGCGTGCTCTGTCCCGGGTGATCTGTGTGAGAGTACGTCGGCTTATGCTTGTTATTCATGCTTGCTATTATTTCCTTACGCTATTCCTAGCTTAGGATTATTTTCTGCATGCATGAATTGCTTGATTTCCTAGGTTCGTTGCTATACTATAGTTATTATAGTTATAGGCACCGAACCAGGTTACGTGCACCGAACTCAAGCTATTCGGTCGCCACCGAATTGCTTTCTACCGAGTTCGGGAAGGTTCTGTTCGGGACGCTTCGCGACCCTCAGAACATTTGCGTAACACCTGGGTTACCTGCCTTGTGTCGAGCCTATATATAGCCTCATGTTGTACCCAGGTGATCATTCAATTACAATTCTCTTTTCTGAGCTCGATCCTAGATCCTCACACTTGGTAATCAGAGCCCGTTTACACGCGAAGTTCTTTCGACCGCTAAAACCCAGTCTTCAAAAAACCGCGGGGGCGACGAAGTTAAACATCGATTTCGGGTACGTAAAACCGGTTCCGTGTTTTTCCGCTCCTCCTCGATTTGGGTTTTCGGACGCGTAATGTCAGGCATGGAAGGCCAGGGCGACAACTACGCGACCACGAGCGACGTCGCGAGCCTCCGCACCGACATGGAGCAGACGCAGGCGACGCTTCGTCGACTCGAGGCTTTTTTAACAAGCCACCCGGCGCTCGCCACGACAGCAGCAGCGACTGCAACCACTACAGCACCGACAATTCCAGCAGCAGTGGCGACACCGATATTTCACGGCCCAATGGCACCACTAACGCCGAACCTCGAAGCAGCACGACCGAGGCTCCCAGAAGCGTTCGATCCAAGCGCAAAGGGATCCTACGTCCGACGTTTCGTGGCAATCCTCGAGATCTACTTCGAGGCCATTGGCTGTTCGACCCCGACATACGACGCAACACGAATCCGGCTCGCAGCAACACTGTTACGCGGACCAGCACTCGAGTGGATCTACAACACTGACGTGGCCCGCGGGGAGAAAACGTGGCAGCAGTTTCGGGCAGAATTTATCGGGCGTTTCGAACCGGTTAATACTACCTATATGGCGCGGCAACAAATTCATCGGCACAAGCAGTACGGTAGTGTAGCGCAGTACACGCAGCAGATGGAGCTCCTGTTCACATGCATCCCCGACCTGACCGAAGGCGAAAAAATCACGGCATACACAGAAGGGTTAAAATTGGGGGTTCAGCGGCAGGTGATCGCGTCAAATCACGAAAGCTACAAGGATATCGTGCGTGCAGCCGAGCGTTACGACGCGCTGACCCGAAGTCAACCCGAAACACGACGTTTCACGCCGAACCGTACATTCGGCACGGAGCGATCGGCACCCCCCACGTTTGCCGAACCGATGGATATCGACAAATTCGACGCGAAGCGGCAGCCGACCAAATGCGAATTTTGCGGCGCAGCAGGGCATCAGATTTTGTCGTGCTACAAGTTGAAGAAAGTACGTGCGATCATGCAGGACGGTAACAGTGGAGCACCCCCGAAGTCAAAAAACGGGAATCGCCTGTAGCCGCGGATCGAACTGGCGATCGCGTAAAGATCCGAAAAGCGAAAAAGGGCGACGACGTGGCGACTTCCGAGCGAGCGAAAAAAGGAGAAAATGATGGCGCGAATATAAAACGTCACGACCGGCCGGCATCAGGGGAAATCGCCGAGGCGACTGGTGGCTCCGCGAAAAAAGACTCTGCACCGACCGGGAAACTCCAGCCAGACCCCCACGAAAGTAAGAAATCGTTAAAAGTATCCTATAAAGATACTCTAACGAAAAATATCGCTTCTCGTGGTTTTCAAGCCTTTGAAAAATTCAGGGGAGAACTAGAGGCCAAGAAAAAGCCTTTAGAAGTCATTCAGGTACCTGCAAATATGAGCAAAGTATTACGGAGTGTAGAGAAGGGTCGTGCGTTCCGTGGTGTTAATATTCTCTCCCCGCAGCAGAGTGTTAAGGCTCCCTGTTGCCCACAGGTGAAGCCTACACAGCTGCAAAGGCTTAGAGGAAAATTCCAGGCTCAGGAGAAGATATACAAGCCTCGGAGAAATCCTCCTACCCCCCAGGTGAAGTTGGAAAGTGCTGAGTCGGGTATAGGAAACAGGGAAGGTATCCATTTTACTGTACCCTATGATCCTATTAATGAGACCCTCTTTGGCTACTCAGCGCAGCAGAAACCACTACTCCTCGAGGTGTTATGCAATGGGCGACGCCTCCAGGCACTGGTGGACAGCGGTGCATCTCACTCGGTGTGTGACCGCGGAGCATTGGAGAAAATTGGAGAGAAGGCGGAGGAG